GCTATTGCAGGCAGTTAGGGAGTGAACCAGTGGATGAGAGTTCTCTGTTTCTCTGTCTGTCTCTCTCTTTCTCTGACATGGTGCAACTAGGTAGTTAGTGTAGGACTGAGTACACTGGAAGCCCCTGCAAGCCCTCAGTCTAATGTTATCCCTGTACCTGTCCATCAAAACACTCCCTTTCCCAGGATACACTGTTTCATCCAGGACCTACAAGGGAGGATGCAATGAAAATATCTATATTAAGCTCTACGTGGAATTTATGGAGGTATCATAAGATTCCCAGGTGGCTTCATGCATGTAGAGGTAACCATCCCCTACATCGCTCTTTTTTTTTTTTTTTTTTTTAAGATCTATTTGTTTATTTGAAAGACAGAGCTACAGAGAGGCAGAGGCAGAGAGAGAGAGTCTTCCATCCGATGGTCCACTCCCCAGATTGCCGCAACAGCCGGAGCTGCACCCATCTGAAGTCAGGAGCCAGGAGCTTCTTCTGGGTCCCCAACGTGGGCTCAGGGGCCCAAGGACTTGAGTCATCTTCTACTGCTTTCCCAGGCCACAGCAGAGAGCTGGATCAGAAGTGGAGCAGCCAGGACTCAAATTGGCACCTACATGGAACGTCAGCACTGCAGGTGGCAGCTTTACCTGCTATGCCACAGCATGGGCCCATACCCCCTACCTCTCAAAAGAGGCAATGACTGGGGAGAGGCCCCTCTTTCCCAGGGGACCACAGCTGGAGATTCTCTACTCAGGTGCTCTCTCTCTCCCCCCTCCCCACCACTTACCCTTTTTGGCAATCCTCATAATGGGTATTTCTCCATGTGGGGCAACCCACACTCCCGCATGTATGTGCTCACTTTCTCCCCTTGTGAATAAATCTTGTTATCACTGTGCATACTTTATATGTCTGCACTTAGAATGCTTATCTTTGTGTGAGGCAAAGAGCTGGAGAAAGATTGGCATACACCCATGCCCACATCTCTACCTCTCAAACAAATAAATAAATTACAAAAATAAAATAAAACCAACAACAGGAGGCTGGCGTTGTGGCATAGCGGGCAAAGCTGCCACCTGCAGTGCCAGCATCCCATAAGGGCACCGGTTCAAGACCCGGCTGCTCCACTTCTGATCTAGCTCTCTGCTATGGCCTGGGAAAGCAGTAGAAGATGGCCTGAGTCCTTGGGCCCCTGCACCCACGTGGGAGATCTGGAAGAAGCTCCTGGCTCCTGGCTTCAGATGGGTGCAGCTCTAGCTGTTGGGGCCAACTGGGGAGTGAACCAGAGGATGGAAGACCACCCCCCCCTTCTCTGTGTAACTCTGACTTTCAAGTAAATAAATAAATCTTAAAAACAAACAAACAAAATGCCAACAATAGGCCTCAGATAGAAATCCTAAGTCCTAAGGGGGTTTCTCTTAATGCAACAATCCCTCTTGGTTTCTGTTTAAGTTAAACAACAAACAAACACTTTAGTTGGAGCTGTCACTCTAGAGGTGTTAAATACTGTAAGATGATGGGGTGAATTGCAGAGAGAAAAAACTGTTGTCAATCAAATCACAAAGGAGAGGTAATCAGTACAATAAGAACTATTCTTGAGAGGCCGATGTTGTGGCAGAGTGGGTAAAGCTGCTGCCTACAACATCCACATCCCGCATGGGCGTTTGTTCAGGTCCCAGCTGTTCCACTTCCAACCCAGAAAATAGCCTAGGAAAAGCAGCAAAGAATGGCCCTAGTGCTTGTGCCTCTGCTACCCTCATGGGAGACCTGGAACAAGCTCCTGGCTACGGTCTGGCCCAGCCCTTGGCCACTGCAAGGAACTGGGGACTGAATAAGCAAACGGAAGATCTCTTACTCTTTCTCTGTAACTCTTTCAAATAAATACATAAATATTTTTTAAAAAAATATTCTTGAGAGTTGGAAGGCTTTATTTAGCACATACCCCATTACTTAGAGTGTATAACATAATGACAGGCCTAAGTTTCCTTGGAAAGGTCATGTTTTTGCTACTGTTTTATTCGATTTATCAAGAATGCATATGCTGGACTAGTGTTAGGGTATGGGTGAGTTAAGCTATTGCTTGTGATGCTGGCATCTCAAATTGGAGTGCCAGTTCAAATCCCAGATGCTCTGCCTTTTTTTTTTTTTTTTTTTTTTGGACAGGCAGAGTAGACAGTGAGAGAGAGAGAGATAGACAGAAAGGTCTTCCTTTTTGCCGTTGGTTCACCCTCCAATGGCTGCCGCGGATGGCATGCTGCGGCCAGCGCATCGTGCTGATCCGAAGCCAGGATCCTGGTCTCCCATGCGGGTGCAGGGTCCAAGGACTTGGCCATCCTCCACTGCACTCCCGGGCCATAGCAGAGAGCTGGCCTGGAAGAGGGGCAACCGGGACAGAATCCAGCGCCCCGACCGGGACTAGAACCCGGTGTGCCGGCACCGCAAGGCGGAGGATTAGCCTATTGAGCCACAGCGCTGGCCAGATGCTCTGCTTCTAATCCAGCTCCCTGCTAATGCACCTGGGAAAACAGTGGAAGATGGCCCAAGTACTCAGGTCCCTGCCACTTGTGTGGGAGACCCAGAAAGAGTTAAGTACCAAGCTCCTGGATTTGGCCTGGCCCAGCCTCTGTCATGTAGCTATTTGGCAAATGAACCAGCTGATGAAAGATATCTGTCACTCTACCTTTCCAATAAATAAAAATAAATTAATTAAACATCTGAAAAGAAAGAAAGAGAAGAGCTGCTGGGGCTCTACAGAGACCCCTCTGGTAAGACAACTCTCACCAGCACTAAGATCACCCAGCCTATGGGTTCAAAAGCCATTTCCACAGATTCAACTAGAAGCCACCATTCAAAAAACTCCTACCCAGCTCTGCCCAACACTACAAAGAGTAAGTGCATTTCTTTGTCTGCATGCCAAGTCCCTCAAGAATGTAGGACCACTGAGGTGCACCCCCACACTCCCCATCATCCTTCCCTTGTCAAAACAGCTGCACTCTTCCAACCGTTTTCCACACATTGGCTTGTCAAAAAGAAATTTAAGGAGGGGAAGAAAAACATTTGATCAAATTTTGGCCTAATAGTAAAATACTGGTTAAGTCACCTGCATTCGGTTGATACAAACCTCCAGCTCCTGGCCCCGGTTCCCTGCTAATGAGACCTGGAAGGCAGCAGTGATGGCTTAAGTCATTGAGTTCCTGCTATCTATTTGGGAGACCTGGACTGAGTTCCTGGCCCCCAGGTTTGGCCTCAGCCTAGGCTCAGCCATCACAGAGGATAGGAGATCTTCTCCCTGGCCCCTCTACCATCAAATAAGCTAATTGAAAATAAATAAATAAACCAGAGAGCCATAAATCCAAATCCCAAATCACTGTGAACCAAGCACTGACGGAGTCATAGTAAGACAGCGAGGCTAAGAGAATGGGTTACAGTGCCCAGCAGCTGGATGTAAGCCTCAGTTCCCCAGTGGTCTGACTTTGACCAAGGATCGTGACTCTGCCTTGGGATCCTCCTCTGTAAGGCAAGGTTCATAAGTGCCCAGAAAACTGTTATTCAGGGTCACTCAGGGAGGACCTATCAAACTGCCTCCACTGCGACTCTAATTGCAGGGAAAAAAAACCCTCAAGGGTTAGGTCTGGTCCAAAGCGCAACACAAAGCCCATGCAAAACTTGCAGCATTTTCTCGTTTTAGATTTGTAATGCATAGAATTTTTGGGTTCTACTCCATAATATATATCTGTGATTGTTTTACTTATAGAAGCATTTTTATCCTCAAATATTTAGTAAAAAGCCCCCCACTGATTTATTCTGCAGCTTCAGGCTCTCCCTGGCTCATCCACCATCCCCAGGGCCTGCCACGCTCCTTGACCACCCTTGGTGAAGAGGAGGCTTAGTCCACAAGGTGAAACTGGGAAGATGAGCATGTGTGTGTGTGTGTGTGTGTGATTCTGCCTTTCAAATCAATCAGTCTTACAATAAATGAGTGGCTGGACATAAACAAAGAAAACAAGCCACAGGACACGAACCCGGCCGGGGACGGCTGGGAGGCTCATCTTATTCCATGGATGGGTGTGGTCTGGCTTCACTGTGCCTGTTACTCTCTCAGCTGCTTTCAGAGAAAAATGCTCCCTAACCCAATACAAGAAGGCGGAGGAGGAAACTGCACAGAGTGGGTCCTGCCCCAACAGTTACAGCAGTGTGGGTGTTCCCACTTGGCTCTCTGTCATCTGAGAATTCCCTGGCAACTAAAGAGCCATCCACAGAGTTTCTTGCAATATAAGAGGGAAGTGGGTGCCTGGGAATGGACAGGCAGTGGGGTGGATAACTCAGAACACGGCACCCTACTCATCCTCCCCACCGGCAGCTGGAGCCAGCAGACGCCCAGTTTTGACGAATGGTGCCAGTTACTCGGGGCCTACAACGCTCCAAACAGCTCACGGAAGGCGGGCATCCACTTGGGAAGCACTTGATGACGACAGAGGGTTGAAAACCAACCTTCTTGGGTCCCCAAGTCTCCACCTGGTCAAAATCAGGACAAAAGGGCTAGACGGCTCCCCTGGCAAGTTAAGGACCTCCTAACAGTGAGATTCCTTTGTGCCAGGCCCTGGGCCGGAGGCGTTAAATAAAAGGGGAGGAGAGAAGGCGGGCAGAAACTAGGAGAGGGCGTGCGTTTCCTAACAGGAGCAAAGAACAGATTTCAATATAAAACACGCAAGCCTTTCTTTTCAAACGCCTCAGCCCAGCATGCGGACTCAATAAACCACCGCTGTGTTCTCCGACTGGCGTCCCGAGCACAGGGGACTGCTCTGGAGGCCTCGGGACGGTGCCCGCGGGTAAGAGCCGCGTTCGCCTCGCTCTCATCCGCGGGAGCGAGTCCCGGGCCAGCCGCGCCCGCCCGCAGGCCGGCATCAGGCACCCGCTCCTGGGCGCGGCGCGGGCTGGGCGCCACCGCGAGGCGCTCCCGCGCGCGGTGCCCAGACCCTGAGCCCAGCGCGGCGACCCGCAGCCCCCTTACCTCTGGTGCGGAGACGGGGCTGCGCCGGTCCTCTGCGGTTCCACGCAAATCACACCCTCGTCGGGGCTTGGCAGCGGGTCTTATCCCGGACGGATCCGCCCCACTGTTGGGTGGAGACTGAGCCCGAGTTCCTGGTTGTCCCTGTGCTCACGGGACCGGAAAGTCCCTCCCGGGAGCAGCAGCGCACCTGCCGGGAGCCCTGGGAGGGGCCAGCCTGGGCCCGTCAGGCCCTTGCCGGGCCCGTGGCCTTCATGTTGGAGCACACACTCCACAAAGTTTCCAGCACTGCCACCCCTTCCTCGTGCACCCAGATGCTCCAGGAACCCCTTGCGGCACGCCGTTCCCTCTTCACCTGAGTTTGGTACCTGTCCGCAGCCCCCAGGGAGGCCTTAGCCTTGTGGTGCGGCTAGGCCTGTTCCTACCCGCAGGCTGGTCTGGACGCCAACTGCCAACCAGGTCAATGTCGTCTTTCACTTCTGCATCCAGTACTGTATCTAGCAAACAGCAGGTGATCAGGGAATCGAAGTGAAATGATTTTGTTGAGTCTGCAGGGAAATTTCAATTTTAGGTAATAAAAAAGTGTGTGTGTGTACCCTAAGCTGGAGAGGTAATGTGAAGCTATTTCATGTAGATGGAGCTGGAGGAGACATTTTGACATCGTCCAGATCATGAGTTTTAGGATCCAGAATGATTTCATCTCGAGGCCTGGTTCTGCCTCTTTCAGCTGTGTGCTAACTTAAACGTTTCTTGATCTTCAGTTTATGAATGAACCTTGAGGAAGCAGAATTAACAGGGCAAACAGTAGAAGAATGAAATGAGGATGATTCATTTCCTCAGATTAGAGAGACTATCGCATTCTTTAAAAAAAAAAAAATAAAGACAATTAAGTGACTCAGAAAATAGAGGCCAGAAGGTGCTCTTGGCACCCTCTGAGATAACCTTCACTGCTGGGCCTGCCCAGTCCCTGGCTCACTGCTGTCGCCTCCCACAACCACCCTCAGACCAGGTTGGGAAGGGAAAGTCTGAGGCTAACTTTTGTGGGATAAAAAGACCAGGGGTAAATCTGTGATACCCTTCATTTCCCACAGCTCCCATGGGATCAGACTGAGGTTAAAACCTTCACAGAAAGCCAGGGCCGGCATTGTGCCACAGCAGGTTAAGTTGCTGCCTGTGGTGCCAGCATCCCATATGGGCACCAGTTTGTGTCCCAGCTGCTCCACTCCAATCCAGCTCCCTGCTTGTGAGAGGCCAGAGCCATGCCATAGCAGGCTTCTCACAAGACAAAAAACTGCCTAGGCCCAGGATGCACCTGGTATGAGAAGATGAAACCTGACAACGGCAGTTTTTGGTTCGGTCCGGCAGGACCAGGTGGAGGCAACCAATAAGGTGGGCCGTCCTTGGTCCTGCAGGGCCAGGGGAAGGAAGGAATGAGGACGTAATACTTGTTTGCCTGGGAACTATAAAAACCCCGAGAACAAAGAGAAGGGGATCTTGGTCTCCCAGCACTCCGTTGCACAGGAGGCCAGGGCCCCAGCATGCCGGACCTACAAATAAAGTCCTTTTGTTCTTTGCATTTCGGTGAGTCTCGCTGGTTCTTTCTATCTGGGCAATCCGGAACACAACATGCTAATGTGCCTGGGAAAGCAGCAGCAGAAGGTCCAAGTCCTTGGGTCGCTGCCACCCACATAGGAGAGCCAGATGGAACTCCAAGCTCCTGGGTTGCAGCCATTTGGGAAGTGAACCAGCAGATAGAAAATCAACCAATCTCTTTCCACTCTCTCTAACTCTACCTTTCAAATAAATTAAACTGCCACAGAAACCAAGAGGTAGGCATTTAGCCTAATGGTTAAGACACCTGTATCCCATTCAGAATGCCTGGGTTCCAGTCCCAGCTTTGATCCCAGTTCCAGATTCCTGCTAATGCAGACCCTGGGAGGCAGCAGGTGATGGCTCAAGCAATTAGGTTTCTGCCACCCACCAGAGGGACTTGAATGGAGTTCTCAGCTCCTGCTGTTGTAGGCATTTGGGTTGTTGATGGGAGCTAGCTCGCTCTCTCTTCCTCTCTCCCAAGTAAATGAAAGTTTTAAATTTAATCTAATAAAAACACTTTAGCAGATACAAGATCTTTGCTCAGCTTCTCCCTCAGCCCATCCAATTCCATTTCTTTCAGTTCTTCACAGCTTTCTCTTGAGATCACCCTCACTAGAGTGCTTACACAAAAATCCCTGTATGGAGCTGGCATTGTGGTGCAGTGGGTAAAGCTGCCTACATCCCATATGGGTGCCAGTTCATATCCCGGCTGTTCCATTTCCAATTCAGCTCCCTGCTAATGGCCTGAGAAAAGCAGTAGAAGGCAGCCCAAATGCTTGGGCCCCTGCTGCACCCACATGGGAGACCCAGAAGAAGCTCCTGGTTCCTGGCTTCAGCCTGGCCCAGCGCTGGTTGTTGTGGCCCTCTGAGTGAACAAAGTAGATGAAAGATCTTTATCTTTCCTCTCTCTGTAACTCTTTCAAACAAATAAATAAATAAATCTTAAAAAAAAAAAAAGAATCCCTCTGTTAGACTCCTCTTTCAGACCCTTGATCTAACACAGAGCATTTTAAAAATTAATATAATGGCTAGAATGAAAGACCCAAAGGAGCCTTAAATTACAAATGCCAGAATGAACACATTCATTTATCTCAGCTCCCTCTTGTAATCCAACTAAAGTAAGAGTTGAGTTTTTGTTTTTTTGTTTGAAAAAAAAAAAAGACTTCTCACAATAACAAAGAAATAAGGGAGGGGGAAAAAACACAAAACTTTGGAGCCTGGAAAGCAAAGAGACAGGTGGTAACCAACTGAAAAGACCCGAGAAAGCTGACTCCTTAGCCAGGAGTGGAGCCAGCCAGGAAGCAACACGATAGTGTACAATTTCTCAGGAGAGAAAGGAGCTTGCAGCACCAGGTGCCTGTGGTGTACAGGTAAGACTGAAACCCGGGCATTCGCTGGAAGTCTGTATGAGACGCAGTCAGTGTCCTCCACCCCCTCCCCAATGCTGCACAGCTGCCTTTACTGCTCTTCTACGTGGGCACAAGACTAGAAGCACATTCCCAGGAAAGGATAAAGCAGTGGATCTCTGTGGTGGGGCATCAGATGGAGTCCAGGTGTTCTGCTTATCCACGGCTGCCTAACCGACTATCCCAACCCTTGGTAACTTATAAAATGTTGACCATCTTATGAGAGCTCATGATTTTGTGAATCTGAATTGAACAGGGCTTGCTTGGCTGAACAATTCTTCTATTTCCTGTGGCTCCCACAAAGGTCACCTGGTGGTAATCAGCTGACCGATGGACACCATAGTGAGGGGAGAGGGAAGGCTGGTCCCAGCCGGCACAGCCAAGCACAGCCCTCCATAGGCCCTCTCCGCATGTAGGCTCAGGGTGATTCCTATGCGGAGGCTCAGGGTTTTCTGCAAGGATTTGCCAAGGAATCCAGGCAGAAGTTTCTAGGCTTCTTATTCTTTACTTGGAAGCTATTGGACATTATTTCTGTTGTGTTCTGTAGGTCATGCACATCTTTAGTCAAGGGAAGGAGAGTTAGACTCCCACCCTGAACAGGGGAAAAAAGGAGTGCAAAGAATCTGTAGTTGTCCCTCATCTAAGGCTCTAGACTGACACAAGACCAGGGCCACTGTGCCGAAGCTGGAAGGGCCACCTGACACTTAACGTGGCAAAAACTGAGCTTCTGGGTATTCTTCCTCCACTCGGCTCCTAGAACACCGGCAGCCAGGATTAGATCCTGGAGGATGGCAAGCTGGGAATACTCTTCGCAGGGGAATCTAAGAAAAAGACAGGACTTTAATCCATTACTCAGTGAAACTGGAGCAACCTGTCAGTGAATTCTCCCATGGAGCCCCACCCACTTGCAGGTCCCACAGCCTTGTAGATGTCACTCTTCCAGGGTTGCTAAATAAAAGACGGGACACTTTATTAGATTCCAATTTCAGATAAACATCAAATATTTTACCATATATAAGTATGTCTTAAATATTGCCTGGGACATACTTTACCAAAAACGGTTCGTTATTTATCTAAAGTTCAAATGGAGGGGTGGTGTTTGGCCTAGCAGATCCCAAATAAGAATCCCACATCTGGGGGCAGGTGTTGTGGTGCCACTGTTAAGCCACAACTTGGGATGCTGGCATCTCATATTGGAGTGGCTGGGTTTGAGTCCTGCCTCTGCTCCCCATCCAGCTTCCAGCAGGTGATGGCCCATATACTTGGGAACCTACTGCCAACATAGGGGGCCAGATTATGTTCCAGGTCCCTGGCTATTTCAGGCATTTGGGGAGTGAACCAGCCCTGGTGGTTGCAGGCATTTAGGGCATGAACCAGAGGATGAAAGTCTTCTTTCTCTCTGCCTCTCAAATAAATAAAATATTAATTTTAAAAAATTCAAATTTAACTAGATGTCTTTTGCTTTGCCAAATCTGGCACACTTAAATGAGAGCAGACAGCTAAAAGTGACCAGAATTTAAGGGAAGGACATGACATGAGAGATAGAATCCCCAATATATAGAATAAAAGACATTTGGAAGAAACAGACTATAGGGAAAAAAGAAAACTGAAAAATGCATTGCAGGTCTCCTTTGAGAAATAAAGATAGGAAAAACAGATTAAAAATAGAATATATACTTTTTTTTTTTTTTTTTGACAGGCAGAGTTAGACAGTGAGAGAGAGAGAGACAGAGAGAAAGGTCTTCCTTTTCCATTGGTTCACCCCCACAATGGCCGCTGCAGCCGGGGTGCTGCAGCCAGCGCGCTACGCCAATCCGAAGCCAGAAGCCAGGTGCTTCTCCTGGTCTCCCATGCGGGTGCAGGGCCCAAGCACTTGGGCCATCCTCCACTGCACTCCCGGGCCACAGCAGAGAGCTGGCCTGGAAGAGGGGCAACTGGGACAGAATCCAGCGCCCCGACCGGGACTAGAACCCGGTGTGCCGGCGCCGCAAGGCAGAGGATTAGCCAAGTGAAGGCGGAGGATTAGCCAACTGAGCCATGGTGCCGGCCAAATATGTACTTTAATAAATGGAATACGCAGGGGTGCAGGCAATTACATTGCCACTTGGGAAACCTGCATCCATATCTGAGGGACTGGTTTGAGTCCTGGCTGCTCTGCTTCCAATCCAGTTTCCTGTTGATGCGCACCACCTGGGGAGGCAGCAGAGGATGGCTCAGGTACTCAGGTCCCTGCGTATCATGTGGGAGTTCTGGGCTCCTGGTTCTGGGCTCCTGGTCAGACTGGCCCAGGCCTAGCTATTGCAAGCATTTGGAGGAGTGAAGTAGTAGATGGAAGATAGAAGACGTCTCTCTCTTTTCCTGTCCCTCCCTTCCTTTCAAATAAAAAAGAAAAAAAATTTTAAAAGGGAAGACTCAGAACCACACAGAACTCTTTTCAATTAAGAATGTGAAAGCAAGAATGCAAAGCTCAGTAGGGTGGTAGGAAGATAAGGTTAGGAAAGTAGCTAGCACGTACGGACAAGAGGCACGGAGAAGGGAAAGAGGTTAGAAAGGGTCAGAGCATTAGGAAGCCAGTCCCGGACATCTGCGAAACAGAGGGGAAGAAATCAACTGGAAAATTCAGTTGTGTTATTTGAGAACGAAAGGGTGTGAGTTTCTACCCTGACAGTGATCGCTGAGTCCCGCACAGTGGATAAAACCAGGACCACGGGGAGGCGCATCAGACAGAATGCCAGACAACGTGGCCACAGCAGTCTTACAAGCAGCACACAGAGG